AATCTGCCCTGAAAAAAAGGCCACTGGGTACATTCAAATGAAAATATGCAATTGTCAGAGAAGTTACCACATTCTCAAACTCAAAAATACAGCATCAGGAATGCATGGTGACCTGCCTGCAATGAAAAACAAAACTGCAAAATGGCATTTGTTGCCCATCACAATGAACAGATTGTTCATTGTGTAGGGTAGGCAACCTTGGCACAAAAAACACAATATGTATATACCAGGGGTTTCAAGGAAGGAAGGGGGGGTGGTAAAGAGGGGAACAAAAATCAGGGAAAAGGACCAAAGAGGGACACTGCAGAAAAAAAAGAAAGAAAAGCAAGATAGGGGAGCTGGAAAATGTCCAAGGCCCGCCCCTTTCTTTCCTGGATTTCAGTTCTTCAATCATGGAGGCTCAGCATCACATGCTTGGGCAGTCTACATGCAAATACTATTTCTGCTATAGATGAACACAGTGCCACCACTGGCCCTGCACCATACTACACCGACTTTGGGCAATAGTGCAGGACAGGATGTTGAATGTTACATGCAAATGCATCCCACCTAAGAATGCCCACTCCTCCAGACTGACATCTACCCATCAAGGCATTTTCCTATTTTCCATATCTCCTCCCAAGAGCCAGCACACTGCTTGCATCAGGGCTGAGGTCTCTTGAGAGGAGTACTGAGCCTGAGTGCTGTTATGTTTTGAGGAATGTACAACACCCTGCTGACTCCTCCCACCAGCCATGATATGCCTGCAATTCATAGAAAAGCACAGAGACCCACTGATGACATCACTGGGTCTAAAATAAGGTGTGTAATAAAAATGGAAACATTTTATTTAACAATGTCATTCATGTTAATGAAGGAGGAATTAGGGAGGGCAAAATATAAGCAGACTAAACTTTAGCTTTTATCTATCTATTTATTTTCTCTTTCTTTCTTTCTCTTTCTTTCTTTCTTTCATCTGGTTATGTATCTATCTGTCTAATCTTTCTTTCTTCTAGTTATCTTTCTTTTCTTTCCTTTCCTTCTTTCTTTCCTATTATTTATCTAACAGATCTATTTTCTTTCTTTATTCTATATCTATCTATCTATCTATCTATCTATCTATCTATGGTCTTTCTTTCCTTCTTCTATCTATCTCTCGCTCTGTCTATCTCTATCTATTATTTATTTCAGTCTTGTAGTCACAAACATTAGCCTTTACTATGATAGTAATTGAATGTCTCCATGGCAGTGTTGATGCACAGGACACCATAACTGTTTTACTGATCTTATTTCTAAAGAAGAGGTTGTTTCATTGGCGTGTACAGAGCATGGCATTTTCAAGGAAGTCAGACACTAGAAGCTCCGTGTTTATAGGGGGATGGCGCTGGCAGAAGCTTTGCCTTAACTTGAGCTTAAATTTGGTCTAAAATCGTATGAACAGATGTTTGGAAAGATAACAGGATATTTAGTAAGAGAGATTAAGGGCACTATTCTGCTCAAATGTTCCATGGCTTCTGTGTACAGACGCCCACAAACAAGCTTCTGCACCTGGTGGTGACCTATTTTTTTTTACTAGAATGCCACCATTGAAGACCCAAGGAGATGGCTTCTTACAGCATTTCTCAGAACTCCAAATGTCTTTGTCTCCATATTCCGCAGAGATATTCCGTGTCGGGGAAAAAAAACATCACATTGTAAAAACTTACTTTAATCTTCTCTGTGCCAGATGGTCCAGCAAAGCCGCCTCTGATAGCCACCAGAAATGGTTAAAGATACACTGACATGGCAAATCATGCCAGGAAAGTATATTATAGTGAGGTAACCCTGCCAGCTGTTGTCTAATATCAAAACAGAAAGCAAAAGCAATGGTTAGGATGTCTGCCTTTTTTTATATCCAGATTATAGAGGCATTCAGAGCTTGATTTTATTTTTCACACCGCAGTCTAGCAGATCATGGCTATCAGATACGAACATAAATAGCCGCTTGTATAGGAAAGGACAATTCCCCTTGAAGCTAAGCTTCGGCCGAGAAGCTGAATACAGCAGTAACTTAAAAATGTGGGGAATGGTTTTCTGGCCAAATGATTGGTAACTCTATACAGCCAGTTTTGAGTCCAGGCTCCTGGAGCACAGCTAGGTAAGAAAATGATTCCTACCCAGCCTGCTGATTGGCTAATGAAGGAGAAGCAGGAGGTCCCAGGAAATGTCCTGTCCCATTTCTGACCTTGTAGCACAATATCCCTAAAATTATCTCTCCTCCCATCCTGGTCAAGGCCCCATTAACACTTTTGGTTAGGGCTATATTGCAGATTCCTGCGGCGACAATGGCATGTGTTTGCAAATGGCTACTGCCACATAGCCTATAGAAAGCAATGACCGGCTGGGCACATGCTGCTTGCACAGCATTACAGCCACTAAATGAAGCTAGAGGAGCATAGGAATTTCCTATGCCCCTTTGCGCCATCTAGTGACTGGAATGCAGTGTAGGCAGTGTTCACTGGACGAAGCATTTATACATCAGACCAGGGCCGGACTGGCCATAGGGCAAACCGGGCACTTGCCCGGTGGGCCGGGCCGGCCCGAACATCATCAGCTTGTTTCTGTTCGGCCCGGCCAGCTGTGCCCGACGGCCGCTCTGAACGCTCCATTGATCACAGAGCACGGAGCTGTCAGGCAGATCACACACTGAGAGGAGCCGGCCCCGGGCTCACCAGCTGACAGACCCAGGAGGCCTGTTCAGGACACACGCTGTGCTCGAAGGAACACAGAACACAGCGTCCAGGAGAAAGTAAGCTGACAGGGGGGAGGAGGAATCGTCACCACTGAGTGACCGGAGGTCCACCGCCTCATCTCATGCTGGACACATGGGGGGCCAGGAGCCAGATTCAGAGGGGGCCAGGAGCCAGATTCAGAGGGGGCCAGGAGCCAGATTGAGGGAGGGCCAGGAGCCAGATTGATAAGGGGGCCAGGAGCCAGATTGAGAAGGGGTCAGGGGGACAGGAGCCAGATTGAGGGGGGGGGACAGGAGCCAGATTGAGGTGGGGACAGGAGTCGGAGGTGGGGACAGGAGCCAGATTGAGAGGGGGACAGGAGCCAGACTGAGGGGGAGATAATCAAAAGAAACCCATCGCACACCTGACCAGATAAGACCCTCGAGTATCAAGTGGGTGCCAAGCAACCACGGATGCCTCTGCAAATCAGTATAAATGTGAAGAAGTCAATCGCACTCCAGCTCAAATTCAGTCAATTCAGTATATATATATTATGTGTTGTAATTATGTGTTGTAATTATGTGGCCCGGCCCCGTCCCTCAATTGCTCTTCTATGTTTGACTCCACCTCCAGATTGCGATAGGGCAGGGGCTGTCGGGGGTCATGTGATTGGGCTGCTCAGTCCAAAATGCCCGGGCCTATTTTGTGTCCCAGTCCGGCCCTGCATCAGACCCTAGGTGTTGGTAACATTAAAGCCCAACTCTGGGCTATTTTTTATTTAAATAATAGGTCCCGTAAAAAAGAACTCCAGGAAAATGATTATTAAGCCTTGCAGTGGGGCTACTCCCGCACTGCAAGGGTTAAGTGATTGTTTGCCTATAGTCAAAAATAAGAAAAAGAGTAGGCTTGCTCTTGGACTGGTCCTAGGAACCTCTCTTCCCCTCTGCTGCAGCGGTCTAAGGTTATGTAAAGCATCATGTTCTATACACCGGGGGGAATTTATTAAAACTGGAGCAAACAGAATCTGGAGCAGTTGCCCGTGGCAACCAATCAGCATCTCTCTTCAGTTTGCTCAGGTAAGATTTGAAAATGAGAGAGAGAAGCTGATTGGCTGCAGTGCAAATCTGCTCCAGACTTTGTCTACTCCAGTCTTGATAAATCCCATCCCCCATTGTGTATATGACGTAAGGACGCCGAGGGACTCTCCATCACCGTAGTGAAGGAGGGGACAGGCAGGAGGAAGCATTGTCACAGCTGGCTGGCTCCGAGGATCAGGTGAGTATAACTCTCCGGACCAAAAAGAGCACTTAAAATTACATTAAAGCCTAAATCCCCCCCCCCCCAATGCTGGTGTAAGGACTTACCTTAAACGATGCCTCTTGATCTGATCATCTTTCCAGTAGTTTTCAGGAGTCCCTCCAGCTCTGACTCCTGTCTCACGGAGTCTGTGCGGGTGCATGCTGCCGGGCTGCTTGCATTGACCTACCTTGTGTCTCTCCTCTTCTCCCGTCCCAAGATCTGCCACTGCGCCCGCCCCATGATCCTTTGTGGCCGTCCGAGAATCTCCAGATCTTTGGACGGGAACGTCCAGCGGAGACACAGGTAAGTTTGAACCCTTTTGTTAACTTTTTTTAAATGTATTTATGTTTTTGCATATTTCTACTGCTTGCCAACAGTAGATACATGCAAAAAACGGGAGGATTTAATAATTCTTTGACCCTTGCAGTGCACGCTACAGCATAATGCAATGCAGCGCACACTAGATGCACTGGTGTGTTGTGTTGTGTCATTCAAATGAATGGCGATGCAATGCACCTAGTGCACGGTACCACATGCTGGGCTGGGTGTTAATGGGCCCTAAAGGGAAATCTACCAGATGGGACACCCACAGTAATAAACTGAGGGATGTTTTAATCCTTCACTATTCCAAAATTAAAAGAGGTTTTGTTTTAAATCTAGAAAAGTATATATAAAATAAATGTATACAGTATTTGATGTAAATATGTATTTTTATATACAGAGAGGTGTGCAATTGTCTCCACAGTGTTGTCTATGGAATACTAACACTTTCTTGTAATGTTTATTGATAAAGTCTTATCCTTCCACACATGACAATTCACATTGACTGGAGATCAGGTTTTAACTTAATTGTAAAAGAACCTTTCCGGCTGTAGACTACGTATGATATGATAGGTGGGGGATGGGAGGCCGGGAACGATGGGGAATCCCTCCACAGAGGGTCGTCTGATCCCAGCAATGTTTACTCCTTCGACTCCCGGGGTGTGATTGGAGGACGCTGTACCATGTGACCTCTTACCCACGGTGCCTTCCTCCTGCAGCCAGGAAGTGGTGAGTGACATACAGACAGATGTGGGCAGTGGCACTGTGTTCTGTGTGGCGGCCAAGAGCAGAAGTGTGTGTGTCAAGGGGAAGCAGGAATAATACTCTGCAGAGTATACATGTGATTGCTGGGGGTGGAATACTCTGCAGTGGTGTCTGTGATTGCTCGGGGTGGAATACTCTGCATTGGGGTGTGTGTGTGAATACTGGGGGTAGAATGTTCTGCAGTCGTGGTGTGTGTTTGCTGGGGGTAGAATGATCTGCAGTTGTGCGTGATTGCTGCTGGTGGTGGAATGCTCGGCAGTGATGTGTGATTTCTGGGGGTAGAATGCTCTGCAGTGGTGTGTGTGTGATTGCTGACAGTAGAATGTTCTGCAGTAGTGTGTGAAAGATTGCAGGGGGTGGAATGCTCTGCAGTGGTGTGTGTGTGATTGCTGGTGGTAGAATGCTCTGCAGTGGTGTCTGAATGCTTGGGGTGGAATGCTCTGCAGTGGTGTGTGTGAATGCTGGGGATAAAAGGCTCTTCAGTGATGTGTGTGATTGCTGGTAGTAGAATGCTCTGCAGTGATGTGTGTGAATGCTTGGGGTGGAATGCTCTGCAGTGGTGTTTGGGCTGGAATGCTCTGCAGTGTTGTGTGAATGCTTGGGGTGGAATACAATGCCGTGGTGTGTGTGAATGCTGGGGGTGGAATGCTCTGCAGTGGCTTGGCTGATTTCCATTCAGGATGCCTGCTTAGTAAGTATGAGGCTGGGCTTGGTGTGACCTCTGGTTAACTCTGGTGAACACCAAGCCTGGCCTCATCACTAATGGTGAGTTACATGTCCGTCCCCAGAGGAACTTTGCTGCAGACATGGAATATAAACCTCATCACACCCCATCTAGGTTGGAGGTGTCTGTGTGTGTCCCGCGGGGAAATGTGAATGAAGTAAAATACTTAAATGCCCATCATCATCAGCAGACCATCTTCAGTATCGTAATCCAGCACAGAGCATGTATGAGATGGTCTGGAGAATGCCCACTTCTCGGGGGAACCCTGGCCACATCTCGGGGAACCCTGGCCACTTCTCATGGAACCCCGGTCCCTTCTCAGGGAACCCTGGCCACTTCTCAGGGAACCCCGGTCACTTCTCAGGGAACCCCGGCCACATCTCCAGCTCACAATACATTCACGTGATCTCATGCATACGCCCGGAATAAAACAATGATCACCTTGTTGTCCTAAGTAAAAAAAAAACCTCTGAAATGGTCCATAAAGCTTGTGTGTTCTAGATGTATAGACACTAAGGGGGTGATTTTACTAACCTAAACACATGCACGCACCAGGTGCGTGTGATTTTTACACAGCAAAACATATTTATCAACCAAAAAGTCTCTAAAAGCATATTTCCACTAATGCCATATATGGAAAAATCATGCACATGATGCATATATAATGCTGCTTCACAGTTTAGACAAAAATGGTTAGCTCATGCATTTACATTCCTGCATTCATCAACGCAAGCAACACAATGTAGAGCTAATTTACACAACATCACCTTGCAATTCATGCAGGGCTTTGCACAACACACCTGCTGGGTGTGTACACACTACAAAGGTGTTTAGATTCCACCCATAGATCATGCTGGGAGGGAACACACTACAGAGGTGTATACATGATATGCGTGGCAAATACACCCCAAAGAAGCTCCTGTACTTCTTTGGGCATAGGGCGTTTTTCAGCACGTTCCTACGCACTGTAAAACGCCCAGGTGGGAACCATGCCCATAGGCAATCATTGGTTTTCACATGTTGAGCGTTTTACAGCGTGTAGGAGCACGCTGTAAAACGCCCAGCTGTGAACCAGGCCTTAACGTCTGTTACACTCCTAGGCTTATACATGTGGTCTTGTGTGAATTACTGACCCCGGACGCAGATTTTTCTATTTTGATTTTACAGATGTGAACACAGATTTACTGCTCCTTATGCAGTGTGTACATGGGCCATAGAAATCAATAGGACTGCGTCCATGTCCACGCTGTGCTGATAAGAACGTTTCTTTTTATTATAGCCGTTGCATGAGCCTTTAGTTGTTGATATAAAATATAATAAAAGAATGTGTAAAAAAACATCTGTTTCTCGCCTCTTCCAGGATTATTGTATGTGTTGTGTATGATGCATGTGCTGCACAATGTACACTGCGGCTCCGTACAGAGGCTGGTAATAGACGCGGGTGTCGGGGATGATGTGATGTCCAGGAGTTACATCATCAGAGACAGCTAAATAGACCGAAAAGAGGACAACAGGGTCTTGTTGTATTTACCAAATCATTGCCTGGAAATGGTATGCAGCAAAGGCATCAGGGAATGCCTGCTTCCAGCAGAGCCTAGTCACAAGAATGTTGCCTGAGTCTCAGTTAAAAAAAGGGAGAACAGAGGCTTCAGCCTTGTAGTGGGGCTACCCCTACAGTGCAAGGGTTAGGTGCGTTTTTTTTTCGATGGGACTGGAGCAAAGCTCTTTTACCTACCTGATCCCCACTCCCCCATCGGTCAGCGCTTTGCTCCAGCTGGTGGAACGTCCCTCGGTGCCCTCCCATACAATGCAAGTCTATGGAATGTCATCTGCCCATCAGAGTGAAGTGGAGAAGAAGCTGTGGGGACCGGTCTAGCAGCCTGGAGGGAGCTAACGGGAGCAGGGATCGGGTAAGTAAATTTGCTTTACACCAGCCCCTGAAATGAGCACCTAACCCTTGCTGTGGGAGGGGGGTGCATAGCCCCACTGCAAGGATAGTTCTTTAGTGTACCCAGAGATGGACTTTAAACACACTTCAGTCCTTTTTATAAACTGCATAACAAAATAAGCAGAGCGCCTCTCCCCAAATAACATTAAAGAAAATTATAGTGTTTTCTATTTTTCCTGGCAATTATATGTCTAGAATATTCCAGCAGCAGGATCTCCCATCTATTATATACAGTATATTGGGGATCATATAAAATTGGGGATAATATTCAGTTAATGTGCACTAAAACTTACTGAAAATAAAGATTTGATATACAGGAGCACGTTATCGTGTGACATAAAAAAAAAATTGCAGTTGCCATAATTTTTTTCTAATGGGTCTTTAATTTGATAAAATACATCATATTTTGGGGTTATACGTGCGTTTTCATGTAAAAAAAAATGACATTTTAGTATGTGCAAAATAAAAAAGAGAGCACTGGCAGTGAAAGGGTCAAATAGTACCTCATGTATTGGGTTATGGAATATCACCCCTGAATAAGTTGGTAAGTATCTGTACACGTGCTAAACTATGACTCCATTTGTAATTTGATTTTTGTTTGTGCAGAAATTTGGAAGGTAACCTAAAATGAGCCATAAGAGCAATGTCTTCCTTCTGCGCTGCTGGAAATGCCGAAAGTGTGTAGCCAATTCAGAGTGTCTGGTCAGAGATGGAGAATGTGGGCATTGTCAGGTGAGTACAGAAATCATAAAAAACAATACTGGTAAGCGTTCCCATTTTGTCTTCTCTTCCTTGCAGCATTTGATCCTTTTTAATCTTTGCACCCTGTGACTTATGTGTGTGTGCAGCGGGCACCCCACCTTCCCGGAGAGTAAGTTAAACAGAGAAGGGAAGGGAGAAGCGCTGCAAGCCGAGTAGGGAACAGGGCTATTTTTTGCTGAACCTCCCCCCCCCTTACAAGGTTCAGCAAAAAATAGCCCTGTTCCCTACTCGGCTTGCAGCGCTTCTCCCTTCCCTTCTCTGTTTAACTTACTCTTCGGTTGGACACCCCGGTCCATACGCTTTTGAAGCTGCTCAAACCGTACAAGGAAACTCAACATATCTCCAATTTAACCCCTCAAGTGTAGCGCTGTATCCTGGCATGCTGTCCTTTTAACCCCACCTTCCCCCCAACCCTAAGACTTACAGGTGCCACCCAAGACTCAACCAGAAAAGAAAATATACTAAAAACCAGAGGCGCACCGAAATGGAATTTTCAGCCTGAAACCGAACACGAAAATAAAAAAATCTGTCAGACCAAGAAACTGAAAATGATTGATTGATTTTTTTTCTAACTTTTTTTAAATTGTTTTTTTTATTTGTATTTTTTTCTGACCTTTTTAAAATTATTGTTTTATATATTTATTTATTTTAACTTTACTGTTGGGGGCTCAGGGGAAATATCAGGGGTCTAAACAGACCCCTGATATTTCCCTTTTGAAATGTTTGCCTTTTGAAATAGAAAAAGAGACTGAGAACACTGAGTCTTAAATCTCTTTTTCTGCAGCCCCAGTTATGAATAAACCTCTATAATGAGTGCTCCTGTCCATTCATAACCTGTGGAGATAGCATGTTTACTATGCCCACTAGGGATGCACCAATACCGATACTATTGGTATCCGTGCCGATGCAAAGTAATGCTCCGAAGCCTAGCCCGATACCCGAGCTTGCTGTATCAGGAAGCCGGGCAGCGAGTCATTACACGCTGCCCGGCTTCCTGATTGACCGGGAAGCCGGTTCCATGCTCCCTCGTCAGAAGTAACAAGGGAGCGTGGAGCCGGCCTCCCGGCCAATCAGGAAGCCGGGCAACGTGTAATGACTCGCTGCCCGGTTTTCTGATTAGTCGGGAAGCTGGCCAATCAGGAGGCCGGGCCGCCGTGTCATCACCTCGTGATGAGAGAGCATGGAGCCAGTTGCCCGACCAATCAGGAAGCTGGGCGCCGCATAATTACACGGTGCCCAGCTTCCTGATTGGCCAGAAACCTGGCTCCATGATTTCTCGTCATCTAGGGTCAAGAAGCACAGAGATGGCTTCCCTGCTAATCAGATAGCCGGGTGGTGAGTCTTTAAATGCCGCCCGGCTTCTCTGCTAGTCAGGAAGCCAGGTGGCGAGTCATTACACGCCGCCTGGCTTCCTTAATGGGACTTCCGGTATCAGTATTTGGTATCGGCGAGTACCGGAAAAAAAAATATCGATACCGAAAAATGGTATCGGTGCATCCCTAATGTCCACAATCATGAATGAACAGAAAGTGATGTAGAGCACTTCCTATTCATTAATAAATGGGGACACTGTAAACATACTATGTCCACAATTTTTTACAAGCAATCAGGGATCAGTACTGATCGCTGAGCGCTTGTAACCGCTCTCCATTCTGACTCCTTCGGCTATCACAAGATTCCGGTGCGGGCACACCTCTCTCCATCCTGATTTTCTGTGACACCGCCGATGACAGCACTCTCCTCCCTGTCCCACTCAGCCTCCTGAAGGTTTCTCTCCTCCCCGCTGGATGCTGCTCTGTGTCACAGACGACAAAGAGCAGCGCCCAGCGAGGAGGAGAGAAACCAGGGATGCGCCGCATTTTCGGCTAGAAAATTGTACTTTCTGGATTTTGCCCAAGGTACCATTTTTGGCCGAAATGTTTCGGTGCATCTCTACTAAAAACGTTTTAAAAATGTTTTGTCTCTTTTCGCACAGAATGAACCTTCACAGAGATTTGCAGGGCGAATGGCTCTGCAAATTGTTTATAAATAGATCCTTTAGTGTTTTTTTCCAGAAGAGGTGGTTGTTTTACTGAAATGACATTAAAGTGATATTATGCTGCCGGATTAGATGCAATCAGTGCAGCAGCATCGTACTCCAAAGTAGATGTAAGCCCTAAATGGATGACATTTGATTTGCATAAACTCTTTGCCATTTTTTTTTTTCTCATTTAGAAATATAATTTTCGTTTTTTTAAAATCTTTTTGGCAATCTGATTTCTATCTGCCTCTTTACAGGCAAGCACACCAGCGGCAGCTGCATGTCATTGCTCAGGGAAAGCTTTTAAAGGTAACAATGGCAAACAATGCCTGCACATCTGATTTTAGTTTCCCCTGGAAGCGCAAGCGACGGGGTGACAACGCAGGAAACAGTGACAGAACATTGTCACCACATAACTGGGAATGCCTGATCTTCATAGTAAGATTATCAGGTATTACTTTTAATAAAAGCTGTATTTAACAAAAGGATTGAAAATGGCAGTTGAAATTACATTAAAATGACATTAAACCCTCAGATTTTTTAACATAAACCAATACTGTAATGTGCGCCTTACTGTAATCCATGGTTGTTTCCCTTCTCTTTGCTGCTCTTCCTTTTAAATCCTCATGTCTTCTCATGCTGGGGGAGAACTTCCCTTTGCAGTTGAGTGCCTCTTCCTGTAGTGCTGGCTCAGGTTGCAAACCTACACACAGACACCATGTATCCATTCCAGAGACAAGGCAGTCTGCTGCAAAACACAAGTTCTGCCCAGCATGAGAAGAGATACAGATTTAAAAGGAAGAGCAGCAAAGAGAAGGGAAACCACCATGGATTACAGTAAGGCACACATTACAGTATTGTTTTATGTTAAAAAAATCTGAGGGTTTAATGTCACTTTAACGTTTTAAAGACTAGATGAGATTTTTGTAATCCGTTTTCTATTTATTTTCTGCATTACGTTATTATTAAAATTAAAAATACATTTCCAATGAATATTTGTATTCTTTATGGGAAGTTGTGACTTGCTTTGCCTCAATGAAATTCTTTTAGCACCCAGCTATTGAGTAACTTTGTAATGTTTGCATCTACCAAATCAGCAAGATCACGCTTGTCATATTTGCTAATTCTTGAACTGAACATTACCGATCAGTACAAACTTGCAATATTTGCAAACCAGATTAAACTTGTGAATTTTACAATACACCCAGCTACTGTCCCCCCATATCCAAGGCTGCAATTATAGTAAACCTGTGCTGGCTGTACACCTATTAAACTGTCGCAGAAAATTGAATGCAGCATCTTAGATCCCATTCAAACCCAAGCATTTTGGCATGCGTTTCCTGAAGTGCAGCAATGATCACCATGATCCCATGATTTTCAATGGTGCCACTTCACACCTGAGCGTTGTGTCGCTTCTAGCTAGGAAAAAGTACATGACCTGTTTTTCCAGGCAGAATCGTGTGATTTTGGCCCCCTATACTTTATTGGCAGCACCTGGAAATTGCATGTTGTTTACGCAGTTTCACACCTAAGTACTGTCTCCTCCCCTTAGTAACTTAGTGCTTTCCATTAGCAAAAAACAACATTTAAGCCTGAATACACTCGAAAAATAAAAACGTGAAAACCGTCTGTGTGAATGGGTTCTAGGTTATGTTAGATAGCAGTTTATTGACCAGAGCCTTAAATCAGGGTTTGACAAATTTTCTTTTAATCCAGAGGCAAGCTAAAAAAAAGTTAGGAGCCGGGTTTATTTCACATGGGCGTTTCACAGAGGATGGGGGACTTTAATTTTATTTAGGTATTTCTTATTTTATGTAACTTTTTTTTTTTTTTACTCATTGAAGATGACAGGCTCTCTTTAAAGTGGCATTAGGGGGTCTATTAGACCCCTAGTGTCACCTTCCCACTTCAGTAAGGTTTAGCTAGGGAATGCAAGGTGCCTGAATGTAAACACAGCAGGCAGTGGCTGTGAGCAATAGCGAGCCTGATATTGGCTATTTCAAATTGCAATAGCCGAAAGCAGGCTGGCTATTGCAACCGCCCACTGCCTGCTGTCAATCAGCAGAGAAGGGACCTGAAGGAGAAAGTTCTCCTTCAGGTCCTCCTCTGCTGATTTCCCTCTCTCCTGGCATCTTTCCCTCCCCTCTAAAACATGCAGTGGTCACCACAATACCCAAAAAACCCTCATTGGCCCCACCAATCTTAACAATCTCAGACCTATCTCTCATCTCTAAACTCCTAGAACGCCTTATCTACAACTGCCTGAGCCACTACCTCACTGAAAACCTCCTCGACCCCTTACAGACTTGCTTTTGCCCCCAACACTCCACAGAAACTGCCCTCCTAAAACTCACTAATGACTTACTAACTGCTAAAAACAATGGTGCCTGCTCCTTACTCTTGCTATTAGACCTTTCTGCTGCTTTTGACACACTTGACCACCTGCTCTTCCTCAAAAAACTCCACTCGATTGGCCTACAAGACTCTGCTCTCTCATGGTTCTTTTCCTACCTATCTAAGCGCTCCTTTAGTGTCACCTACAAATCCACCTCCTCCTCTCCTCTTCCTCTTTCCATAGGAGTCCCCAAAGGCTCTGACCCCTTCTCTTCTCTATCTACACCTTCTCCCTTGGTCAATTGATAACCTCACATGGCTTCCAATACTATCTCTATGCCGATGACACTGAAATATATCTCTCCACTCCACACCTCACCCCCTTTGTGTCCTTACTTGACACTAATTAACTAACTGACATATCAGTCTCAAAATTGTCACAACACTTCTTTGTGACATCTTTCAAAAAACCCCGCACACCCTCCCCCAACTTTTCCATTGGGATTGATAACGCAAATCAAGCAACTACCCTCCCCACTGGCCACCTCTCCTCCCTCCACTCTTCTCCAAACTAGTAGATGAACAGTTGCTGTAGTCTATTCTGTCTCTTGTGATC